TTTACTTGACAGAAGGCAGTGGAGGAGTGACCGAACTCCCGTTGACCATCAGCTCCTCCGTCAGTGCATAGGTAGCTGGGGAACAAATGACTCGAGACAATGTAGCAACATTCTGCAGACAGCAGGTGATGGTGCCACAGGGCGCTGCCCACTGGAGGACATTTCAGTACCAGGGACAAGAGGGAGCATATTTTTTATTCTGGGAAGGTTCTTCCCCTGTACCCCTAAACTAATCACATATCCCCCATGTAATCATGTCTGAGTCTTACCCTTGATCTGTCATTTCGCCTGTCATCTTGCCTCACAGATTTCCCTTTCCCCTCTGTGAGAGTCTGTACCTATCCCCAAAGGTCCATGTGTTAATGGCTGTATCCCAAACTTGGTGCTGTTGGGGAGCAATGGGAAGTTGAAGAGGTGGGGCCTAGGAGGCAGTCTTCAGTCATTGGGGGTGTTTCCTTAAAGGCACTTGTGGAACCTTTTGTGTCCTGGCCATCAGATGAGCGATATTGCCATGTATCCTTGTCATGTTGTACCACACAGGCCCAGAGCAGCAACGCAGTAGGTCATGGACAAAACCTCCAAGCCTGTGAGCCAGGATAACCCTCTTAGCTTGTTAAGTTTATTGTCACAGGTGTGTGTTACGGTCATGGAAAGCTGTCCAATGCAGCTTATGTAGTCACCCCTCATCTGTTTCCCTCATGGGCGTTCCTGGGTAGAGCCAGGGAGGCTGGGTGGAAGATAGAAGCACCTCATGGCCTTGGAAAGACTCAGTGGATGAATTTTCTCAAGGGGTAAAGAGTCATCTGGACTCCCAAGAAGCAGGCTTCCCATCCCAGCTTCAAAGGCCATTCTGCTTGTTCCTCACCCAAGGAGGCTCAGCCAGAGCTAGCTGTGGGCTGGGACCTCTTTGTCTCCAACCTCCTCTCCTGGCCTCCATTGGAATGGGTTAGAATCTTCTAGCGCTTGTGTGGGCCTCCTACAAGGGAGCAGAGTCCCAGAAGCATAATGCGTATCTTATGGAGCCCTCTCAAGCAAGCTGCTCACATTCCTTTCCAGTGGCTTACACTGGCAGGATGAGTGTTAGTGTATTAGTAACTTTCTGTTGCTGTGATAAAACACCATGACCAAGGTGACTTATAGAAGGGAGAGTTTGGCTGTGGAGGCAGAGGCTGGTGGATCTCTGTGAGTTCAAGGCCAGCCTGATAAAAGAAGGGAGAGTTTATTTGGTTTAAGGTTCCAGAGGGTAAGAGTCCATCACCGTGGGGAGGTACGACAGGAGGCGGAGGAGCAGAAAGCTGTGTACTCACATCTTCAAGCAGGCACAGGAAGCAGAGAGACTGGACATCTGGCAAGGCTTAAGAACTCTCGAAGCCCGCCCACAGTGACCTGCTTCCTCCAGCATGGCCACACCTCCTGAAAGTCCCATGATCCTCCCCAAACAGCACCCGCAAACTGGGGGCCAAGTGTCCGAATACTTGGAGCCGATGATGGAACACTCATTCAAACCACCACAGATAGGTACACAAAGAACCAGGATGAAGCTTCCTCCTGCGATGAGGTCCCCACCCAGCAGTAACTGGGCTTTCTCCCTGGGCAAGAGTGGATCGCTTCTTGAACAGACAGGCAGACCTTGCAAGATGTGTAAGGGGGGAGGAAGGGAGGAAGCATGCACCCTGCAGACAACAGTCAGCACAGGTGACAAGGCCCAGTCTCTGGCCCTTGTGGAAGGTGCACAGAGCTGGGGAGAGGACCAGAGTAGGAGGCAGGCATGTGTTTAAATGCATAATTTGCCAGCTGCTCATAATAGAACAATGGGCAGAAAAATAGTTTTCAGACTAGATAATACATACCTGTACAGTTACTCTTCTTGTTGCCATGACAAAATATCTGAGAAAAGCAACTGAAGGAAGGAAAGGTTTAGTTTGGCTCACGGCCCATGGTGGTGGGGAAGGCATGGCGGCACGAGCTTCAAGTAGCTGGTCACGTTGCTTTCGTGGTTGGGAAACCGAGGTGAGGGCTGGTGCTTAGATAGCATTCTCCTTTCTGTTCATTCTGGGCCCAGCCCCTGGAATGGCACTGCAGACGGCATCATTCATGCTGAAGGCTCTGTGGGTTTTTTCTACTTAGAGAGAATAGCAAGGCTTGTTCTAGTCTCATAGGGCGCTGTGCTGCCACGATGCCCCGGGCCTCTTGAACACAGCACAGTGACAATTCACATCACCTCTGCTCTTGATGAACAGCTGGACCTCTGGGCTCTACTTTCATAACCCCAGACACCCAGCAAGGAAGCAAGTGTGTCTGTGGAAGTAACGCCCAGAAATGAGCATGTTCATCTGTAGTTTTGTGTATGAGCTTGTGTGCATGCTTAAGGGGCAGGGGGAGGACAACATTGGGTGGTGTTTCTCAGGCACCGTCTGACTTGTTTTGTTGAGACAGGGTCCCTCACTTAACCTAGAACTCACCAAATAGTCTAGGCAAGCCCCAGGGATCCTCCTATCTCCACCTCTCCAATTCTGGGATTTCCAGGGCATACTACCATCCCTGGCTTTTTTTGACGTAGTTTATGGGGGTCAAACTCTAGCTTGAAAGCACTTCACTGACTCCCCAGGCCTACGGCTGCAGTTTTCAGCAGTATCAGCAAAATGCCTGCACAGACACCCAGATTCCATTGAGCCTTTGGAAATGTCTGTGTGGATACGGTTTGGCCCCAGAAAGTCTGAACAGAGCCTGGGTAAAGTCACAGCCAAAGGGGAGTTTTTGAGAATGGACTTCACTGTTTTCTGTCACAGCAGGCAAGGAGTTAGAGGTCACTGGGGCCTGCTCCTCTTTTGACATATAGAAACCCCAGGCCTTTAGAAGAGTTTGCTATTGCAGATCCTTAGGATGCCTGTGTGGCACAGGTTTTCACCCCAACCTGCCCAACCCATCCTGTTCTGTTTTACTCCATCATCCCTCCCTCTCCCACGTTCATTAGAAGCTGGGCCCACAGGGAAGTACCAAGGCAGGGCTGTGTCTGCTGTATGGAGGGTGAGTAGGGAAAGTGTAGATGAAATGTTTCCTGTTTGACACTCACAAGTAGAGCCAAATTGCTCTGACCTTACTGTGATGGGGCAGGCTGGCTCCCTGCTAAGGACTTGGTCAGCTGATTTGTGAGTTCACATTCAGCTGGAATATAGGAGACCCCTCTGTCTGAAAGGAAACTAGAAGTCCAGAATCAAGGCACGGGTAGCACCATGCCCCCTCCCACAGCATGCTCTGTCCCCGCCTCTTCTGGCTTCTGGTATCACCAGCCATCCTTGTCTTCCCATTTGTGCACATATCACTCCTGTCTCTGCCTCTGTCACCACAAGAATCTCTCTCTCTCTCTCTCTCTCTCTCTCTCTCTCATTCACTGTGTGCATTTATACCTCTTTTTTATTTGTTTCACGTGTATGAGTGTGTCTGAATGTATGTAAGTACACCTGTGTGTGTAATGCCTGCAGTATATACATGTGAAACACACCTCTCTCTCTCTCTCTCTCCCTCTCTCTCTCTCTCTCTCTCTCTCTCTCTCTCTCTCTCTCTCATTCACTGTGTGCATTTATACCTCTTTTTTATTTGTTTCACATGTATGAGTGTGTCTGAATGTATGTAAGTACACCTGTGTGTGTAATGCCTGCAGAGGCCAGAAGACGGTGTCAGATCCCCTGGTGCTGGACTTAAAGATATTATTAACCACCATGTAGGTGCTGAGAACCAAACCCAGGTCCTCTGCAAGAGTAGCCCGTGCTCTTAACTGCTGAGCCATCTCTCCAGCACCCCCTCTTCTTATGAGAACAATACTGTACTGCATCGGACCCACCCCCATCCAACAGAACCTCACCCTACCTTGATTCATCTGCAAAATCCATATTTCTAAATAAAGACACATTCACAGAACTGCACACTAGTCTTCAATGTATACGTCCAAGGATTCCATTTGACCCAGAATAATTCGCCGACAGCACTATCAGCCAGGTGTGATGATGATTGCTTGCTGGAGATGGAGCCTGGGATTGCAGAGTCCTGTGATGTGGACAGCTTTCACTCCCCGCAGTTCGCCGGCTCCCTACAGTTCTCTGTAACACTTTGCCCTCCTCCACTTGCCCCCTCCTTGTCCTCTGCACTGGAAGCCCCTTTCTAGCCAGCCTCCCCTGGTATGTGCGGCACAATGCATTCCCTCCACACTGTGTTCTCACCCAGGATGCATGCTTCCTTCCTGTATCGCTACTGTGTGTGTGTGTGTGTGTGTGTGTGTGTGTGTGTGTGTGTGTATAAGAGAGAGAGACAGAGAGAGGAGAGAGAGAGGAGAGAATGTTAGGACACTTCAGGCATTGTTCCACTGAAGCCTGGAATTCACCAAGTAGGTTAGGCCGACTGCTGGCAAGCCCCAACAATCTGTCTCTGTGTCTGTTGGGAATTATGAAGGTGCCACCACACCTGGCTTTTTATGCCTGTTCCGGGGGTCATACGCTTTACTGACTGAGCAGTTACCCCAGCCCCTACTTCGTGCATGGTAATGGAACGTTAGCATTACCGTGTCTGCTGCTTCACTTGTGTGGTCATGTGACCCCTGCAGCAGTGCCCTATACACACTACCTATGAACAACGTCTACCAAGATGGCACCATGATGTCTGCTCTTGACATTGCTTGGTGGGGAGGTAGAGCAGAACAAGCAGTATCGACCAGAGGAGGGAGAGAGCATGAGATATGAGAGGCCTGGCCTGATGACGTCAGGACTGTGTGAGCGCCCCACCCCCCACCCCCGCAACAAGGGGGCCTGCCTCCACCCCAGCAGAGATGGCAAGGGTATTTCTGAACCAGCCTAAGAGACTACAAATAAGTTTATTGAGCTCTTCCCTGGTATTCTGAATTTAATAATTCAACTTTTTATATAGGGAGGACTTGGGCTCTTGGAAGCAGAGAGACCTTCTCAGCTCTGCCAGAGCCACACATAACAAGCTCTGTTCCTTCCCCACAGCCTCCAGCGTCTCCTCTTCTCCATCGACACCCACCCAAGTGACCAAGCAGCACCCGTTTCCCCTCGAGTCCTATAAGCAGGAGCCTGAGCGTCTAGAAAACCGCATCTATGCCTCCTCATCCCCACCGGACACAGGCCAGCGCTTCTGCCTCACCTTTCAGAGTCCAACTCGGCCTCCGCTGGCATCTCCCACACACCATGTTCCCCCCAGAACCGTAAGTCTACCCAGGGCAGGGCTGGGCTGTGGGAGAGAGGGAGGGCAGTCGCTTCCTCTGGCTAGGTGGCTGAGGCTGGGCCTGTGCGCTGCTGGAGGTGTTTGTGACTGATTCTGTCAGGAGTCACAGTCTGAGGAAACCAGGATGGGTAACAAAAGACACAGCAGAAATCAAAGAGGGAGTGGGAACAAACATCTGTGCCTCCTGGAGCATGACCGGGAAGTTTCTATTCCCTCCGTTTCCTACAAGTCATCCTTTGGAAGCATCATTTGGATTTACCTTGACTTGGATACTAAAGTAAAATACCATAAACAAAGCAAAATTAGTTAAAAGGAAAAGAAGGAAGGAATGAGGGAGGGAGGGAGGAGAAAGAAGAAAAGAAAAGCAAAAAGGGGACTACATTCTAGATTTTAAGGTCTGATATCACCCATCTTGGGATTCATTCTTGGAAAGTTAGCTTTCAGACAGAAGTGGGACAATATGTTTTTGAGGCTGTCAGAGGATTAGCTGAGAAGGAGGAGGTTGTTGATAGGGGAGGTCATCTTCCCCACACACTTGGCCACTGTGTAAGCCAACCCAGTGCCCCAAACATGGAGGCCCTGGCCACGGTGGCCTATTTAGCTTGCATTAGGTACCACAGAAACCGGGTATCATCCCTGAGCCCAGCAGGGAGCTGGCGGTATGGATGGAGCGATTTCATTCAGTCATGTTGATTTCTTTGCCCAGAACTGTGACAACCAAGTACAGTCTGCCCTCTCTGTCTACAGGGGACTGGTTCCAGAACTCTGAGGGCACCAATGTGCTCAACTCCCTTTTAGAAAATGGCACGGTTTTTACATGGAACCTAGGTGCACCCCCTTGTATGCTTTAAACCATCTCTGGGTAACATAATGGGCAACACAGTGTAAGCGCTGTGTAAATAACTCCTATATGGCATTGTTTAAACAGTATAGACAAATACACACGTTCATCACAACTGCAGGCCTGTTTCACATTTTCTATCCGTAGTTGCAGATCCTGTGGCTAAGGAGACCCAACTATTCCACAAGCTGAGGGGCTTCAAACAGTGACATTTGTTGCCTCAGGTCTGGAAGGTAGAAGTCCAAAGTGAAAGTTCAGCTGCAGTCATACGTCCTCCAGACCTCCAAGGGCCTCCCTTCTCTCCCGGCTTGGGAAAGCCTGGGCATCTCTACCCCTCACTCCACCTCCCAGCCATCTTCCCTCTGTGTCGGCTTGTGTCTGAAGATCATCCCTCTTCTTAGGACACCAGCCACACTGGATTAGAGCCTTCCTTGATGGCCTCAGTTTAACCTAATCGTATCCACAAAATGCTTGTTTCCAAATAAGAGTCTCCCATTAGCAGCTTCTAGGGTTAAGGCATTGGCTTAGCTCCTCAGGAGACACTGTTCGAACTACACCAGTTGTAATCTTTTGAGAGAAAATGTGTTTGCTCAGCAGAGAACATGCCATGACTGCTCCTCCCCTTCATTTAAGCATGACTGTGTTAAAGGATGTCTGGCAGAGTGTTTGGTTCACATGGTAAGGGTTAAGCCGCCTGGCACTGTCTCTGCCTTCCAGAGCTGACACGCTTGCTGGCAGAGTGTCTAGCTTTACTCAGGCAAAACAGCTAAGTCCAAGTGGAAAGTGGGTGGCTGGGGCCTGGAGCTGACACAGCACCAGCTGAGCCTCACCTGGAGTAATGGTGAGTGTTTGCATAAGTGGAGAGGCAGCAGAAAACCTTCTAGAAAAGAAGCTATGGTTTGTGGCTGAGAGTGAGTGTCTGACACTTGCTGTAACACAGATGAGACCCAAGGGTATCATGCTGGGCAGATGAACTGACACCAAGGATAAATACTGGGTGATCTCATTCACACTCGGTCCCTAGAGCTGTCAGATTCATAGACAGTGCAGTGGAGATTGCAGGGGTGAAGGGGAGGGAGTGACATTTCTAAATTACATTTTATTTATTTGGGGAAGGAGGCTCATGGCATGTGTGTGGAAGTCAGAGGACAAACTTCAGGAGTCAACTCTCTTCTTCTACCATGTGGGTCCTGGGGATTGAACTTAGGTTTTCAGGCTTGGCAGCAAGTGTCTTTACCCTTGGGTGACATCTTGCCAGCACTTGGTGACATTTTTGTTTTGTTTGGTTTGGTTTGGTTTGTGAGAGGATCTCCCTATAGCCCCAGCTGGCCTAGGACTCAGTATGTAGACCAGGCTGGCCTTGATCTCACAGAATCTGCCTGCCTCTGCTGCCCAAGTACTGGAATTAAAGACATACACCACCATGCCTGGCTTAGGGTGCGATTTTTTTTAATGGGGAGCTTCTACTTGGGAAGATAAAAAGGTCTTAGAGATGTATTTTGTGACAGTGTGAATGTTTTGTGTCACTGATCTGTACTCTTAGGAATGAATCCTGCATCGTGGACACCTTCTCATAACTAAAAACAAACCCAGTCAGGCCTGTGATGCTTATGTAACCCCAAGCTTCAGAAAACAGGGTGATTGCCCAGGGCTCCCCACTTGTATCTTGAAATAATGTTGTTTCAAGAACTGGGGAGTTGACTCAGTGGGTGAAGTGCATGCCATATAAGTTTGAGGACCAAGTTCAGATCCCCAGCACCCATCTAAAAGCTGGGTGCACCCACATGCACTTGTATGCCCAACACTGGGAAGTCCACCTCTGGCCTCCCCATGCATGCTCACACATGTGCATGTGTACCTGCTTACATACAATACATCATACACATGGGGGGAGGGAGAGAGAGAGAGAAATTGATTTGGAAAAGGATGTCCCAGTAGTTACTTGCCATTTCACATCTCCCCCCATAAATGTCACCCCAGGAGGGCTACCTCTGCCTGGTGCTGCCTGAAGCCTCTACATTCACAGTGGGGTGAGTGGTCATCTGATGTTCTTGAAAAATTGGTCCCTCTAGAATTGGATTTTGTTGAATATCTTAATTTATGTGCTATTCAGGAACTTGACTGAGTTGGTTAATTTTGCTACCAGAATAATCTTCAAGGAGAGTTATGAGCTGCTTAAATATATCTGAGGCCCCAAAAATATTTCAACATGATTTATCTCTGCTCTATGGAATAAAAAGCCTCTTTCCATATACAGTGACCACGAACATCGTTTTTTCTAAAATCAGATCCCATGAATTTTATTCTAAGATTAGAAAGGCTTAGGGGTGAATAATTAGTCTCTAGTGACAGCACTTATTGGATCATTTATTTATTCAGCAAATAAATGTAGGCTGGGGACGTGGCTCAGTTGGTGATACACTGTCTAGCATGCATGAAGCCTGAGGTTCCATCCCCAGTATCACATAAAGCAGGTATGGTAGAAGGCATCTATGATCCCAGTGCTTGGGAGGTGGAGGAAGGAGGATTAGAAGGTCAAGGTTGTCCTCAGCTACCTAATGAGCTTGAGGTCAGCTTGGGCTACATGAGACATTGTATAAAAAAATGTGCCAGGTCTGGTGCTAGCATGGCCAAGAGGGTGACAGATCTATGGGTGGCACTCATGGAACAGAGATGGTGTTTGCTTTGCCCTGCTTAACCAGCCTCCCTGAGCATGGTGCATGGGTTTCAGTAAGCACTCACTAATCGAACAAAGGAAAGAGCTTTGCCTGTAAAGGGGGTAAGGTAAAGCATGAGAATAGAATGTGCTAGAACCTGCCTAGTTATTATAGGGGAGCAGCCCATCCTGTCTTGGTGAAAAGGAGCCAATCCCTTTTTAAGCAGGAAAGTACGGTTATCAGCTTTGTGTCTTACGGGTACACCCTGGCTGGCTGTGGAGATCAGATGTGGAGGAGCAGAGGCCCAGGCTAGAAGCAAGTCCTGGTTTGGTAGCAGGTGGAGGCAGAGAGAAATACAGTAGCATTCAGAGCATTCTGAGCAGGAAGAACCAGAAGGGGTTCAGACTACACGAACGATTCGTTCAAGGAGAAGAAGAATCAAGGACGATTCTAAAAGTTGTGCCTTGACCAGATGGAGCAGATTTGATGGGCTGTGAGATTGTGGAGGGAGAGGATGTGTGCAAGTGTGTGTGCTTGGTTCACTCCGTCGGTCCTGGCACTGTAAGGCACTGCACGCAAGTGCAAAGAAAATTGGATATGCAACTCCAGACCCGGAAGTGTCTGTATATAAATATAAAATAGCAGGGCCACAGCGATAGATGAAATGACGCAGGGTGGTCTGTAGCAGGTAAGAAAGGAACCAGAGAAAGTCAGCGCCTAAGGGGCAGAGGGAAGGGATTCTGAGCTGCCTGGAATGTGGGCCAGAAAAGCAGTGACATAGGAGCAAGAGCGACAGGTCATCACTGTGACCTTGGCAAGAGTTCCTTCCAGACCCCTGCATGAACAAGGGCAGAAGATGTACAGCATGGGTCATGACTAGGGGGTGGCAGTGCTAGTGGGAATTCTTGTTGGAAATTGGACATGGAGGGAGAGTGGGCTGGAAGAACCAGGGTGAGGCGACGGGATGGACTTGAACACTAAGAGAGTGGTAAAAGGGAATGGTTAAGGTGGGGCCGGGGGGCAATTCATGTTCTTGTGAAGGAAGGGGGTGGTTCCTTAGGATGTGACACACGTGATGGCGGTGTTGTCACGGACCAATGGGACAGTCCTCTTCCTGGCTGGATAATTTCCAAAGGAGAAGATGTAGGCAAACCACAAACCAGAGCTTTCTCCACTCTCTTCCCATGTATTAATATGTGACCCGGCAGAATTCTTGGGCCAACAGCTTTCGGTCAGATCTTCTGGTCTTGGCTGTGCTTGTTCACATGTCTCATGTCACTCCCAGATGCCCTCTTTGTCTTCTGTGAATTCCCCTCTTTTACTTGCACACTCTGGTCTCCTGGCTTCTTTTTCTGTGATGCAGTTTCCTGACAAAAGTAACTTAGGAGATGACTGGGTTTGTTTCAGCTCATTATTCCAGGTTCCAGCTCATCACTGCAGGGAAGTCACAGTGGTAGGAATGGTCTAAGATAGCTGGTTACA